TTAATTATATAAATAGGTCACTTGTAGATTAGAATTCAGTCTTAATTGAACAACTACCGTATTAAGGGCGGTAGCACAAAGCTAATCTGGTAACATCTTCCGGTCGGAAGAACACCCCTACGCGACAGATTAATTGCTTTCCCAAACCCCAGACCACCCGACCGTAACAATATCTAGACAAGATTGTATCAACTCTCACCAGCAGTATGAATTATAATTATGACATCTCAAAATTAAGCCTATCAAGTGAAGTCTGAAGTAAAAATATTGCGCGTCAAACTTCTTATTATCGGAGAAATTACTTGATGGTGAACAAAAATTTTATTTTATGAAACGGGGCAGTACACAATTTAGTATTTGTATTCGAGGTGGGATACAGCTGATGTATATGTGCAACGTTATTTAAAGCATGCAATTTTATTGGTTAATAAAAAAGTTTGGCATTTTGACTTTCTTACTGAATGTCTAAATCTGAGTGGGATACAAATGAGGTAGATTTATACTGATATACAACAAGGGAAATCCGTCCAGCTGAAAAGCTGATACAATAAATAGGGGATACAAATGAGGTACGACTTTGGACTGTACATTAAATAAAATATACAGGAAAATAAAGATTTTAAACGATATAAATTTTTAAATCCCAAGTTCCAGTATTTCCGTTCTTTCACCTATTTGAAAAGAACAAGAAGAAACTAAACATGACTTTGAAAAATATAAACACCAAATTAACGAAAAAACAACTAAAACTGAACAAGCTTTTGATGACTTACAAAATTTATTTAGACTCATCTGTGTATATATAATGAATAAGAAGAAGATCCGTTTTTTTAAAATATTGGAATAGGTTGCCCGAACACCATGAAAAGGCGGGCTTGCCTTGGTGTTTTCTATTGAAGATGAGAATGTGTAGATCTGGCAAGCCCGCCTGGGCGATCGACTGGTTCTCGTTTTTATAATTTACTTTTATTATAATTTACGATTTCCATACGTATCCCGACCGATAGTTCTGGATTCAAACTGTATTTGCGACTCTTAAAATCCACAATAAATCGTATGGAGCATGAAACCCAAGTCCGAAAGTTCTCGCCTTTGTTAGGGTTTCTCTCCTCTCCAGTAACTGCGGCAGCAATATGAGCTGAAAAGACTTGAAGTAATCTTCTCTGTTCAGCTACCTTCAAATAAACTCATTTGGGTGTGCCTACCCGTAAAAGTAATGTCTGTAGTAGATTTAAACATCAATATTAATATGTTCAATGTACCATATTCTAGGGCTAATCCTTTTCGAATGTCATGACAAAGACCGCCTTTCCGCAACCCAGTACTGAGAGTTCCGTTGTTAATATCAAAGGTGGTAAGAGATAATAATAATAACGAGTAACAAAATGGCTTTTGTTATGGCAGACGACTTTTTAAATAAAGATCTACATACAGTACGCGTCACAAAAAAAGTACGCGTTACAAATTTCAATAAGCTTTTGTTGTGCGACATACTAATACGTGTGGTAGCGTAATAGTAAATAAACCGTTTATTTGCGTCACACTATCGAATCGGTCACGAGGAGTTCAGCATCAGCATCAGCATCAGCCGGGACAATTAATGTCTAATGAAAAAGCTACAAATTATTGATCAGCGAGCAGAATAGTTTTCAGTCGTTAACGTGATTTTTACAACCAATCTTTACTCGCCAAAAATAAAAACACCTTGATTTAATGTGAACATTATTGATATCCCCTGACGTCTGTGAGCAAAATTATTGAATTTTGGGAATATAAATAAGCAACTCAACATGAACATCATACTTTCTATATTTTCGATTGACTTTCCTATTATTTCTTCTAGATCTTATATCGCTCTTCCCAAACCCCAATTTTTTTTAACCTACCAATCCTCCTTCATATACTTTCCAATGCTATTATGAAAATCACCTCTATTCACTCGAGTTTTCATTCAGATAGTGAAACATTCTTTCTAGCATCTCCTAATGATGCATATATTCATTATTTTCTTCTTGTCTTCTTATTCACAGGGCAGAGCTAAATTTTATATTAGATAAAACGTTCCTCCCAGCGCCTGTATTTTCTTCCAATCCCAGTCTTTTCTTTGCATATTCCAAATTATCTGTGGTTTGCCATGCAAGTGGTAATTGGGCAGAAAAAGATGAAATGCTTGTACGACTTATGGAACTGGAGTAGAAAAAAGTAACCAAATTGTTTCAACAAGAAGGATGCTTGTGGGAACCTGCCACTTGAAGCTTCTTACGAACTCACACTAGCTAGACATAATTTGTGCGGTCAGTTTTTCACGTAACAAAAATAAACGATTTTAGTAGCTGATGGAATTGCAAGCCATTAAGGCTTTTGTACGCGTCTTTAAATAAAAGTAATTTAAGTTGCAACAGTACCAATAATTGTCTGCTACTATAATGATCGGATTAGAAGTCTGACATCTGCACTGACCAGAATCCCCAATATTTCTACAATGTTTTTAGAATAGAGTTTATCGACTACATGAATGGCTATAATAATTGGACCGCAAAGTATCTGTACAGAATCTAATTTGATGACGTGGGTGTTAGTGACTTGATATTAACAACCCCGCAATTACCTGAATTACAATTAGTGCAGCGGTGCAGCAGAGTTCCTGTCACTGACCAAGTAAGAGAAAGTAACATTCCTTGATTTTATCGGTTTGTGTTTACTTGATTTATTATTCTTGAAAAATTCCATCTTAGACAACTGGGTGTCTTTCTTGCAGACTACAGTATTATACGTTTATTCTTTAATGCACACTACATTAGTTCTTATCATATTATTTACTCAATTCTTTCCGTCCGTTCGGCTTAACTAGTCTTGACATTGGAATAATAAAACCAATCTTTCGGCCTTCCTAAATTCATGTGGTGGATTGTCGCAGGTTCCGGCGAAACCAAATTTGCCTTCTTCAGGGCATATAATTTTGGTGGTAACGGCGATATCATTACCGACTGCAGAAAAAAAAATGCCGCATGTGGCAGCAGTATGTTGTTGTATGTAGCTATGTAGCAGTAGCGTTGTCGCGTGTGGCAGCAATTGCAATGAACAATGTTATAAGTTGCTAAATATTATGTGAAACAGAAGATTGTAAGTATCTGATGATAGTTTGCTAGTGTCACCGACAAACCAATGATAAGTAGTAAAGCTCATATACTTACTGGATTCCAGTTATATAACTAGTAACCTTGCCACGACCCGCGCCCATAGCTGGTCCGCCTGGGAAGTTTGGGGGTGGCTGGTTCTTCTCCTGGCACTGATATTTTTCGGCATACACTTCTCCACTCTGGTTTTACAGTTCTCAATCGGATTCAAATCCGGACTATTGGATGTTTAGCTGAGTCTCATCAGATGCTAAGAGATTTGGTATGCGCGTTATTATTCGTTCAGTTATTGTTCAATAATTATCCCCCGAGATAATAAATAACTCTACATTTATCACATTAAAACGTTAACATGACACGACTTCTTTCACTGTAACAATATCACGTCGACTGACAAAACTACCAACCATCATCTCTTCCAAAAAGTATATTCACCACATCAGAGCGTGTCGAAGCCGCGAGGGATACCAAACAAGCTAATACTAACTAACAACACGTCCAAGAATAAACCTTTTTTTAAATAAACGGCACGTGAATTGAGAAACAATCCACAACCGAATCAGTAATCATAATAGGTTCAGTTTTAGTGATTACGAGTGTGTATATCATACACGAATACACGAACCAACCAAATTAGGCCGCTTTACGTTCTGAGGTAGAAATATTTTTCCGCTCTGCGCTCCCCTACAGTTTCGTTTATTAATGTTTAAATTTAAACCTTAAGCACGACAGACACAGCGCAGTTTATTTCCAGATGATTTTTGTTTCGCAACAAAACGGTGCATAACAACATAATTATCACGAGTTTATGACGTGAAATTATTACCATTAATATTAACAATTTGCCAATTTTCATTACGCGTATTTATCCGTCTTCTCCATAAAATTTGCATTCAAAATGCCCAAATTAATATTGCTAATTTGATTTGTTATCTGTTTTACGTCGCGTCCCTACTCCCCCACAAATTATTATGCAAAATAAAAATTGTGTACGGAATAATCTAAATTATGGGATTCTTTGTCTGCTTAACTCGTTAATTTTAGTCATATGACTTGTAAAGTTGACAACTACGGTCAGAATAGAGAAAAAATGAAAGAGAACGACAATATCTGCCGTGAAATTTGCAATCAAAAAGAGTTGGTAGCCTTTAGCAGGGTTTCGGGATAAGCAAAAACAATTCCCTGAAAATGATATTGGCCAATCGTTCCGATAGCATGAAGACTATCCGTCAAAGTTGACAGTCAATCTCATGACTGAGTCAAGTTGTTAAAAAGATCCAGAGATTCCTAACATAAGGATAACGTAAAAGATCCAGTCATTAGGTTTAGAACGCGAGTACTCATTCAATTATTTTTACTTGAAACTTACTTGATTGCAACTGAGAATATTTACGGATGTAGATATATATCATTGTAAGTAATAGCAAATTTTCTCCTGTCCATACGCGTAGATCAACGGTTGTATCGACGGCCTATTGATTCCATTGCATCCATCGAATAATCGTAATACGGAAATGGTCCGATGACGTATGGAAAAAGTGATTGAGTCGATGGACTGAATTGTGAGGTAGGATTCATCAATGTCATTGTATCCATTGGATTATACCAACGATTGGCAGGATTCGACATTATTGATGGGCTGCCGTCAATGACAGTAGTTGGCGACAGACTGAATTGTGAAGTAGAAGTATTCGATGTCAATGTATCCATTGGGCTATACCAATGATTGGCAGGACTCGATGCCGTCAATGATGGCATTGTGCATTTCTGGCGTAAGTGATATACGATCTGTAGATAGCAGAGCGACTGACATGAAACAGAATCGTCTGTTAATGTTGGCGAGTCGACTTCGAGATTATCTTGTGTTAGTTCATCACTAAGGTATTGTTCTTCCGATGGTGTATGTAGAGAAGGAAAGGAGATAGTCGTTGCGAGTGAGGACTAGAGAAGCGCTGGCATCAGAATCGGCATCGGCGTTGGATTTTCTAGATGCGTTTTCAGATGTTGTTGCTTGAAAATGGAAGAGCACGCTCAGCGAGGGGATGCAGAAGGATTGTTTGTTCTTGTTGCTGATGTTGGATGTGATGTATTGAGAGAAGAGTTGTGGTTGTTGTTGTTGTTGTTGTTGGCAATTGTCAGTGTGAATGAGGGTTTCCGCGAATTTCCTTTTATAGGAATTCAGAAAGAAACTTTAAAGGCGTATATCGATGGAAGGAACCATAAAATCTTCCCAGCACCTTTGGACTAATACTAAGCGAATATCGATGGGTCATTGTTAAAAGACACGTGTTTGCTTGTCACGTAAGGGTGATATTTTTTTAGCCGACGAAAACTGTTTCTGGATGAATTATCAACACAACCTCCCACGTTTTATGTGTCATTATTCTCAAATTCTCTCCTTACTGGGTGCAATGGGTATGTGGACAGCTCGATGTCGGAAGGAAGTCATTGATGAAGGGACGAGATTTGATTTTTGGCAAGACCGGGAATAGTATGGTAGAGATGTTCGATAAAACCACAAGGACGATGGTATGAGTTGTTGCTCAAACGAAAAAATTACATTCGTTAGTGATTATCATATGCAGGGGACTTATGATTGGGTCAATGATTTTATTCTCTACAGTCTTCTTTTCGTCTAGCCACATAGCACGAGATCGATGCATTAGCGTGTGAATGTGGTGGGAATCATATGAAGACACAGTAGTCGGCTGCTATATATTAATATAGCTGAACAAGAAAACGTTAATTGTCCCTATTTATTGGTAGAGGATTTGCTATACTTTATAATTCAGTTAAACTGTCATTGTTCGCTCCACTTTCTTTTTTGTGAACCATGAAAGATAAGCCCTTTCAAAATTCTATAAAAGGAAATTAGCGGAAACGTATATAAATTCACCGCTCCAACTTTCGGTTGCAACGCCACAACAAATATTTCCCTTTTTCTCTCCCTCTCTATACCTCTCCTCTCTCCCCTCTCTCTCCCCTCTCTCCCTCTCTCTCTCGCAACCCTCCCTGAATGGATACGGTCAGCTAAGCACTGTATTGCCGGGACAGTATAGTTTGTCTATAAGTAAGTTTCTGTTCATCAAATACGTATGTTTGATTGACTTGAGTAACAATGATATATAATTTATACTGTTTTCTCGTTACTAAAGACCTCCACCAGAAACGGAGTTTTGGAAACAGAATGCAAGATTTCATGGAAAGCAACTGCGGATAGAGGTTATATCGCCCCCAATCCCGAAAACGACCAGTCGGACTTCTCAAGAGAACACAGAGTCAAGATTTTCTATCGGCCAAGTTCAGAAAGTCACGTGTACGTTTGTTACAGAGTGGAGAACAGACAATGTAAAGTTTAGGCTAAATTACGCAAGACGCAGTTTGAAATCGAATTTGGTTTTACTAAAGGGAAATGAAATAGCATGTTCCGTCTGGAAATTATTTTAGAGACGTCGAGGGTGCACAGAAAAATCAATTTCGCGCGCGGTAACAACTACAATACGAACCAAGTATCCCCCAAAGCTATCCTTCCTGAACAAGAACCTTGAAGACGAGCAAACAATTTACATGGAATTTGATGGAGTCGGGTAGGAAAGCCTAGCGACAAAGAGATGCAACAGCCGACGATGCCTTCATATCCAAACGCGACAAGTAAAGAGCTTGGCAGATGGTACTCGTACAGGATTACATTCATTCTTGTCCCGTCTGAAGGAGTCGACAGGCTTAAATTCATGTTGTTAAAAGCAGCTGGTCACAATCTCGTATCAAGGCAAGCCAGACACATAACGGTGGACAGATCAATGCTGGACTTCGAATTATGCAATTGCTTGCTCGACAAAAGAGACAGCCTTACCATTTTAGATAGATTCTATCAACGTAACAAGGGTAATATCAACTTTCGCATCATGACACAGTCCGATGGTACCGTTTCTTCTCGACTGTCATCTCGAAGTTTCGCAACTTCATGCTGCCATCTATGGAGACTAACAATAGGACAATAATCACTATAAAGAACCTAATTCACTGACGAAAATGGAAAAGTTACATCGGCAATGGAGAGAACAATGCTCAATTTTCAATCGTACCCTTGTGAACGGGATTAAGATTGGAAATAGGTATTACGAATCTTTATTACCAGCAAATGGATATAGAGATCACTTACTGCGTGGAAAAAGATATTCGCATTTTATGAATAACCTGATAAACCAGCGACCTATCTCAAAAGATTCTCGGAAACCTGTACAATTCCACGTGATGACTTTAATAAATTTGATCAACGTTTATTATTTGCAAGAATGTACTAGATCAATTGCAATAGTTCACAAGTAGAAAGAATAGTTAATGTTTACCTCCCAAGCGGAGAAACCAGCTAGTGATTGTGGAATATCTAGAATTCGGATGTCGTTGCAACTTCAACGAACGGGAATCTAGAATCCTCAATAGTGATAATAAAATTGCTTAATTGGAATTATTCTTTAAAAATGCCATCTTTTATCTTCTAGGACCACCAACCCTACGTTCCGTGGTGGTGGCCTAATAGAACCCTACTAGCCGTCTACTCTACTCCACCCTTCTAATCTAAGAAGATGACCCGTACCATAAATAAAATAGAATGTAATATAGTAATAGATAGAATTATGTAATAAGAAATCTCCTGTGTGCTATATATAACTGTGGGTAACCATGAGTACTTTGTATTGGTGTCGTCTTACATAGGAAATGCCTAATCTCACAGAATTTTCACCTGGATAGCGCCTAATGAGATAAATGACTAAATCAGATAGAGCAGAGAAATTATGGTGTTATTGTAGCATCATACATTAAAATGATTTATGTTAATAAATTTCGTAGTCGTAAGAAGTTCGTTCCTATTTGGCCATCCAGTCCCAAGCTGATTTGATATTCGAACGCGCAGCCTTCGGACAGTCGAGTGTTATGCGATGCTGTTCGCGTGTTAAAGGCTCAGAGATGATAATGTTTATATGGGAGCATTAAGTTGATGATGGTGAGAGGGAGAATGAATCCAACCAAGAAATACTATCAAGTCTTCTTTCATCAATAATAGTGCCCCTTGAGCGTGAAATGTCCATCGAGGATATAGTAATAACAGCAGCGTTTCTGGCGACGTGGCCGCTGTAGGGTAATAATTGGTGGCAGAAGCAACCTTTCCGTGTCATCACGAGATCGTATTGTAACGCATCCTGAGTACGGATAAATATAACTGATAAATTTGATGGCGGAACAAGCTTGTCGTAAAATCGCTTGTCTTGTAGAGTGTCGTTTAGCGAGTCGTTGTTGCATTTGGCAGCTAAGTCGTATTCAGCAACTGAGTCGTATGCGGCAGCTAAGTTGTTGTATGTGGCAGCTGCGAATGTTTAGATGGACCATTCATAAGCTCCCCTTGTTACGAAAAGAGAGATAGTCAGCATCTGGTGATATTTTTTAGTAGAGGTCACAAAAAGTAGATAAGTAGTAAAGCTCATACTCATTAACTCTAGTTCCATAGCAAATAAAGTAAAAATTTCACGTGACTAAATATACGGTGATCGATTGAAAGCAATATATAATCATTGCTTAGACATTATCAACGAGGTGTGGGCAGGAGCAAAGCGGCTGATCAAGAGTACGCTATAGACAGCGCGATGTTATAGAAGTGGAACCAGAGCGTGAGAACGTGGTCAGAAATCAGTAGAACAAGGGAACATACGAACAGCAATACTTACTCAGATGCCGCGATTTCAATTGTTATTATTTGATCAATGGCTCCTCCAAAGTCTCGTGTAAGCTCATCCTATAAGATAATATTAATAAGATACCATCCAATAATATACATCGTCAGTAAAGATCTCCGTGTCGTGTCTAATCTCTCATATACAACTCGGGCACAAGCATTGTTGATTATATTATATACCGGAAATCGGAAGGTTGGCTCCTTGATAGGTTTTGTGGCGGCCAGAGGATAATTGTCTTCCATAAACAGGCAACCGCGTCTTATCATAGTTCGGATTGTACGTGGGTTTCTTAATTGTTTCGGCAGCTCCTACATGTTGTAGAACCAAGTCATAGTTACTATCAGAAATGCCATTTGAGTTAGTCTAGTATTATTGACTTCTTTTATATGTGAAGTTTTCTTTATCTTAGCTGCATACGTAATTGGACTTTAATTTATACACCTAGTTCCGTATTCCACAATTATTGTCTCGTTCCAATTCAATTCAGGCTAAAATCCTTCTTTTCGATTCCATCATTCTGATGAGAAGGTAAACCCAAATTGTGCCCATAGAAAGAACTTGGTGCTTCAGTCATTTCCTTTATACAATGTTTGGTAATGCAGGCAAAATTAAATACATCGTCTTTCCTGATTCAAACACATATATTCGTTTTACATTGCATCAATATGATCTTCCACACACCTTCACTTCTCTTATCGAATCTTCTCGATTACAAAGGACATCATTCATTGCATTCCGCGTGATCGATGATCGAGTAAAGCATCTTCACTTATATATACAGTGCTGTCGAATACGTCTATCAGTTTTAAATAATAGCAACAAAGTTTGCAGCTTAACGGTAGCATTTTAAGTAAAATACAGCTTTTTTGTTCATCAAGCACTTGTTGAATCATTCTCGGCGCCCAAGGTAATGCGCTAATCTCATGTAGCTGTGAATATTTTTGTCTTATCCAAAAAAAGCGCACTGCCTGCTAATTGACATTTCCAAGTTATTCTTCCATCTTACAGTACGCCTAATTACGACAACTATATGTGTGGAATAACTACTTGCGGCAGTTTGCCCAAGAATCCTGTCATTCTCACAAAATTCTTGATGATTATTTGTATTGCTAGATGGAATCTTGGTCGAACATTCTCACCCTCCGTATAGATCAAACCATGCGGGTCTTTTACAGCCGATTGGCAGGTTGAAATAAATCTTCTGGAGGCATTATGATTTCGAAATGGACGAATATTAGAGACGACACAAGTCCATCATAATAAATGCATGAAGCCAAGCGTACATATGATCAGTAATACCATGATGCTTATGTTGATTAGATTATCATCACGTCTTTGTGGTTAATCTACGTCTGTTGATAGTCGGTATCCTTCTCTTCTGAGGATTCTGATGTTACTTCTACTGACTCATCGTCATCGGTCATTTTTATCTTCATTTCTTTCCTCTTCTTCTTTATCATCGTCCTCCCCTTCCTCTCGCTCTCGTCTTCATTCTCACTTTCTGACGTCTCCTCGCCAATAGATTATAACGTAGTACTAAAACACGTATAATAAGCATATGTATGTTAAACTTCACAACAATATCTAATTCCTTGTACTTACCCTCTGCTTCTTCGCTCTATTCTTTGCTATCATCCTCAGTCTCTTCTTCAGTTTCCTCTTTGCTCTTAGTAGAATCGTAGAAATTATCTAAAGCCTTTTCATAGCTAATATTCGGTCACATGAATCAACCTATGGGAGAAAAGGGCTCGTTTAAAATAGAACGTAAAGTTTCTGAATATACATATTCCATTTATATACCGTTGTGTTCCTGATAGACAAGACGGATCAGATTTTTTGATGGGACAGTCGGGCAGCGGTTCGTACCCGGGCAAGCGTGTGCTTACAGCCGAGGGCGAAGCCAATAAATAGAATTTATTTGCATTTTTTTGTTGCTCGAGGTAAGATAAAACGTGCTCGATTACAAAATTGGTCAGTATGTTTACGATTATCGTCGTATCAGAACATACCCATGCTTAAAGATGGTAGCCGCAAATGGGTTGTGGTCACCTGCGATGGGATACCCTATCATCGTGCACAAAAGATCAAAAAAGATTTTCCTTGACTTATCTTAATTCCAGGTGCTCTTCATGAAGAGATGAATGTGTTGAAAGCATATGTCGAATTGAATTGGGATATTGATATAAGAGATTTTGCTCAGTGTCATAAGTCAGGGATATCAAACTGAGAATCAACTGAAATTTTTTAAAAAATGTTCTGACCATCATAAATCATGGGATTCGATATGCAACATATATAGGCATGCAATGGCTTCTGAATTAATGTGGCCATACATTATTTCTGAGGAAAGCCATTCTGTTGAAGGGTATTTAGAATGGGCCCAAAATCAAGTCTTTTTTTATTTACAAGCAATAATTAACTTCCGTACTGGAGTCCGGTTTAATAGGCCTTCATTAAGACTTGCAGCTCAGCGAATGTTTGCACCGATTTGGTCTGCTAGGCGGCATCTTATTTATCGATCGATCGAAATTGCGGATGAAGAACAAATGTTACGGTTGAAGCCTGAAATTTGCAAGTTAATCCAAGAAAGAATTATGACTTCACGATCTAAGCTTTCAAATCAGCATCAAGGCCACGATGCAATACTTGAAGAAATAAACAAAGCACTCAAATCATTAGTTCCTTCTGCACCTTCACAGCAGCATTGGGAAATCGCGGCACATAATTGTACTAAATTTGTGACGTTACGTAGGCCTCGTACACGTCCTAGCTTTATTACTGAATCGCATAGATTTCGGGTTCGGATAAGAAAGACACAATTTGTAAATCCGATCGTGTTTTTCAGGATATAAGCGGTGAATGGATACTAAGTGAAGAAATGATGAAATTGCACGGACGAAAAGAATAGACTTTATTAAAGCGCGGCTAATTAAGAAGACATCACTAGGCATCTGGCAACCAATTCCAGTAACATGTGAAGAAGCAGATAATCAAAAAGTTCTTTGATACCCCTTTTAGGTGATTTAGAACGATCACGTTTTCGAGATTTATCAAGTAAATCCCGCGATAATTTAATGGGCGTTCTTCAGGATGTTAGAAATATGTTATCCGAAAGCATTATTAATACTAATAAAGAAGGTTTAATAGATTAGACCTTTTTTTCTCGAATGTTCTGTAATAAATCTAGAAATTTCTAAAAAAAAATTTTGCTACTATTATATCTAAACTTGGATATCCATAATACGTAAAAAATGTGACGACAGAAATCTGACACCATCGTCAGATATAAAATATACCGGTTTACCGTTCGTGATTAATTTCAAGCATAGGATACTTCCCGATGTAGGTTATAGCGACTTAGGTATGTGTTGCGACGACAGAAATGCGACACCGAATCGCGTCATTTTAATCGCGTATACAAAACACATGTAACGTTAGTCCTTTTTCAATGACACTAAATTTTAGAAAGTGGTCTCCGGTTCTGGAAGTCACCTTCTTACAATATACGTGGACGAATCACGCAAAAATATATACGTATTCTGATAGAAAATACTCTCCAAAAGCGATTGAGGAGTTGGTGCTTGAATACAGCCAAAATAACCCTGATATCCAGGAGTGCGAGAGTCGAAGTAACTCAAATACAATAGTGGTTCAAAAGAAGATTCCTGATTCCAGGCTCGTCCTTCGCGTGGCGATTGATAAAAAAACCGACCCTTGGACGGTAGTAACATATCACCTTGGGAGTTATGAACGATACTGGAGAGACAATTGAGAAGGTGTTTGCAGGTCTGTCATGCGGTTATCCAATCCCCGAGCAACTTAAGCTTTGTGTGTTTCGTTTGTTTCTTACAATATCAATATTTTATTATTTCTTTTATCTTACTTTGATATTATTACAATATTTAGAAAAAAGACAAAGACTGTAATCTAAGGTATGCTCATTATTTAACATTAATTAATATTAGGCATACTACTATTTTATTCAATATATAACCTTTCTGTGTCATTTCATAGTTTATGGATTGATACAAATTAC